TGTTGTGTTTCCATGTTTTATGGGGACATTCCATAGGCGTAATGGTTTTTTTATACTGTACAAACTGTATGTGCTATTGTCCTACACCAACCCTACCCCTAAACCTACCCGTTACAGGAAACTTTGTGCTATTTTACTTTCTCAAAAAAACTCATTCTGTATGATTTATAAGCTTGTTTCCTCATGGGGACCTCAAAAATGTCCCCACAAGGTCAAAATTTACTGGTATTACTATACTTGTGGGGACATTTGGTCCCCATAACGTGATGAATACCAGGTGCACACACACACACACAAACACACACACACACACACACACATTCACTCAGACACACACACACACACACACTCACATGGGGACACCCCTAATATTGTTATTTAATATGAATTAATGTTAAAGGGGTCATATGATGCGATTTCAATTTTTCCTTTCTCTTTGGAGTGTTACAAGCTCTTGGTGCATAAAGAAGATCTGTAAAGTTGCAAAGACTAAAGTCTCAAATCCAAAGAGATATTCTTTATAAAAGTTAAGAGGACGTGTGCTTGTGGTGTTCGGCCAATCACAGTGCACTGGGTCAGCTGGCCAATCAGAGCGGACTGCGCTTGTCAAAGGAGGGGGCTTTGTAGAAAACTAAGCGTTTGAGAGAGGCGGGGCATAGAGGACCTACAATAATGTACAGTATTTGAAAAATAATGTGTTTTTTGAACATTAAAGCATGTCAACATATTCTGTTACACCAAATACACAAAATAATGATCTTTAAAAAAGCATCATATGACCCCTTTAAATTAAAATGATCAAAAGTGCCAGTAAAGACATTTATAACGTTACAAAAGATTTCTATTTAAAATAAATGCTGTTCTTTTCAACTTTCTGTTCATCTGGGAATCCTGAAAAATAAAATGTCTCAGTTTCCACAAAAATATTGTGCAGCACAACTGTTTCCAACATTGATAATAATCAGAAATGTTTCTTGAGCAGCAAATCAGCATATTAGAATGATTTCTGAAGATCATGTGACACTGAAGACTGCAGTAATGATGCTTTGATTGAATTACAGTTAAACACATATCAATACATTGAAAACAACTATTTTAAATTAAAATAATATTTCACAATTCTTGCTGTATTTCTGATTAAACGCAGCCTTGGTGAGCGGAAGAGTTGTGAAGCATTACCGTGTAACATGTACTTTTAGGAAATTATGTCAGAGTTGCAGATTTGTTGGTTTAGTGGAATTTGAATCAGATTGAAAGTTGGAAAAATGGTACGAGTCTGCTGTTCATCTGTGCGTCTCAGGTCTGGCTCTGCTGGACGCCGGTGAATCCATGCGTGAGCTCGGCGAGGTGAAAGACGCTTTAGACATAACCGTCAAACAGAACTTCATAGACCCGCTGCAGAACCTGCATGACAAAGATCTCCGAGAGATTCAGGTGAGTTCGACTGGTGCTGCTGTGAGAGAGCTGAACGCTGATAGACAGACAGACGTGTGTAAATGAGTGTGTTCCTCTCGCAGCACCATCTGAAGAAGATGGAAGGCCGCCGTCTGGACTTCGATTATAAGAAGAAGCGTCAGGGGAAAGTGACGGAAGACGAGCTCAAACAAGCGCTGGAGAAATTCGACGAGTCTAAAGAGATCGCGGAGCAGAGCATGTTTAACCTGCTGGAGAACGACGTACGGTGTTGTGCTAACTAGTACTCGTGCTAGTAATGCAGTGTCGAACAGAGCACATGTACAGTGCTGTATCCCACAATGCAAAGCTCAGGAATCTTTCAAATACATATTGTTTAAATCTTATTCGTCGCTCTGGAAATGGAAGTTGAGCCCATTGCATTGTGGGATACAGTATCTCCGTGTGCACTGCATATTTTAGCAAATGTAAGCCATATAAGAGTCCATTCTCATATTGTACACAGTATAAAATTCACATATTGTATACACTATACAGTTCAGAAAACAGTGTTATTTTAGTATCCTAGATTTACTGTTATAGTTTTTAATTAACATTGCGAGTTTTTAATTTGAACAAAAATTTATAAAAACAACAAACATAAACAAAAATTACCAAAACATTTTTACTATTATAAAAGTTTTAAAAAGTTTGTTTTTATTAGTTTTTTTAATTTGTATTCATTTTTTATTCAGTTTTAGTTACTTTAGTACATCAAATTAAACTGTTAAAATGATAAATGTTGTCTTGACAACTAGCTGAAAAATTTAGTCTAGTTTTTTAATATTTTAGTTATTTTATTTCATGTAACAAATATGTTTTGTTTGTTTTATTTTTTTAGTTGATAATAACCTAGCAGAACTAGTGTGTACTGTTTATAATTTAAATAGTATGTGAAATTGTGTTAGGTCTGTGAGTTGAAAAGCTAATAATTAAATCGTAAAAATTAAAAAGATTAAAATGAATAAATAATTTGAAAATAAAAAAATCTAAATAAAACACTTACTAAAAATGAACAAAATCATAATATGTAAACTTAAATAAATAAATAACATTAAAATAGAAACTCTCAAATAAAAAACTTACTGCAAAATATGAAGTATTTGTTCAGTTGCATGTCTCGAGTAGCTGACATCAGAGAACCGTCAGCATGCAAATGTGTCATTAAATTGTGCTGACAAAAAACATTTGTGAATCCCTTTGTTTCAGTATATAGTACATAAGCTTGTGTGTGTGTAGATCGAGCAGGTGAGTCAGCTGTCGGCGCTGGTTCAGGCTCAGGTGGAGTATCATCAGCAGGCGGCTGAGATCCTGCAGCAGCTCTCCAGCAAGATAGAAGACAGGTCAGACGCTCCAAACTCCCATCATGCACCTGGGGTCTTCACACGACACACACAGTACATCCACTGGGAGAGACATTAAAACAACACTGCAGTTTATCAGATTTACCAGAAACGTGTTTCTAAAATAAAATAAAATTGTCTTTACAGATATAATTACATGGCAATAAATATTGAAGTATTATTTTAAAATGTTACAGTGGAGGTTAATGAGATTCTATTCTTGAATAATTATAAATATGTGCTGTTGATTAAAATATGTGTGTGTGTTACAGGATAAAGGAGATGTCCAACAAACCCCGGACGGAGTACATCCCCAAACCCCGCATGGAGCTCCAACTGCCCAGTGAGAATCACAACGAAGGAATAAACTCTGCAAAATCACCTGCACGCTCACCAGGTACAAACACACACACACACACACACTCACAGAAACACTCTCACACACACACACACACACACTACACACTCACACACACACACACACACACACAAATACAAAAAAAACACTGACATACAGACGAATGCGACTAAAGCAGAAAAAAACGCACACAGATGTATTCAGCTCATATTTCACCCTTAAAAAGATTTTTCAAAGTTACGTTTTACAAGAAAATACTATTTCAGACTTTCTACTTAAGAATTTTACGTTTAATTCAGTGTTACTTGCTATTTCTTTGTAATTATTTGTGAAATTTACTAGCAATTTCTGAGTGAAAATTTCAGCGTTTCAAAGTAAATCCTACAGCATTTGTTTTTTCAATGTACAACTATAACGATAACAACACAGAATAACAATATTGTTAGATTCACTTTCAGAGCAATGTCCAGAACAGAAATTTGAAGTCGGGCTCAAAATTCTTGTTTGATTTTGTCGTCATATTCGAATTAAAGGTTTTTCCAGAGGGGATTTTGGATATCTCTTTTTATCGCTCCATAAATCAGAAAATACTGTCAGCAGACAGAAAACAAACATACTTTTACCATGTTTTTAAGAATAAAATGTTGTATAAATCAGTGTGAATGAGATATGAACAAACCCCTCAGTGGAAATCTACAGATGCAAATAGATAAAGTGCAATAAAATAAACACTTAGATGTGTTTTTCTGATTTTTTTTTTGTACGCCAATCTGAAACAGCACTTAATGAAATGCCAAACAGCCCAAAATCTCAAAACTGACCAGTGTTTTACTATTCTGTATTTAGTTTTTTATATTGTTTTTATACTAAGTATTTTGACTTTGTTCTTTGCAGATGTGCATTCTGTAAAATGTTTTAGTTAGTGAGAGTGTTTTCACCAACATAACTTTTGATTTTGTTTAAATATAGTTCTAGTTTCTGTTAATGATAATAACTTCACATTCCACTAACTACTTTTTAAAGAGCTTTCGTTCTGTCGCTCAGCTCCGTTGGATCAGCCGTGCTGTCGCGCGCTCTACGACTTCGAGGCAGAGAACGAGGGCGAGCTCGGCTTCAAGGAGGGAGACATCATCACTCTGACCAATCAGATCGACGACAACTGGTACGAGGGCATGATCCACGGCCAATCAGGGTTCTTCCCCGTCAACTACGTGGACATCCTGGTGCCTCTGCCTCACTAGGCTCCGCCCACCCCCGCTGTTGCCTAGCAACCCGACAGCCGCCTTTATCGTGCATCTGTGCTACAGCTTCCTGTTCCTGTCGATCAGTGACTCGGAGGATCATGATGATGTTGAGGAGGATTAAAGACATTACGGAGTCCCGTCTGAATGGAGAAACAGTTCAGGTTGCTCAGTGTGTGTGAGTGTTTGCGCTCCTGGACTCGTGGTTTACGGTGAATCATGAGTCTGTTTATATTGTTTTCCTCGTGTTTCAGATTATTTATTTGTACTTCATAAGGGAACTTAGTCCAGCTCTATCCCAGCATGCTTATAGGAAAGTTCTGGATCTCCAGATGTGTGTTTGATTGCTCTCGCTGCTCACATGTTCAATCTTTTTTCTCCTCGCTAAGCAGCGAACAACAAGATGTTGTTCCGATTGATTTTATTGCTTGCTGATGCATTTTGGCTTTGGCTCAGAACAGAAAAGTTGCTCCTGCGTTGCAAAAGTTACGTTTTTCTCAGTGTTTTTGTCTTGTTTCCAGTACAAATATCTAAATATTCTTAAATCAAGATACATAAATTACTTACAAATATACTTAAAGTCTTGTTTTCTGAAAAAATAATCAAAATGAAGCGAGTTTATGCTTAAAACATTAAAAAATATCTGACAATGGAATCGAAAAAAATGTCACTTTGAATTAAGTTTATTTTTCTGACCCCACTGACAGATTTTATTTTACTTTTTTAAGAAAAAACTAATTTTCAAATCATTTTTTTCATTAAATAAGACTTCATATTTTAAGACATTTTGTTTCAAAATGCATAGTAAATATAATATTATATATATAGTACAATATAGTAAATATATCTTAATTAAAACATTTTTTTTTTAGAAATTTATAATGGAAAACAAGACAAACATAGGGTAACACTTTACAATTAGTTAACTGTGGTTAACTAACATTAACTAACAATGAGCAATACATTTTTTACAGTCTTTATTAATCTTTGTTTATAAAATTACAACTGTTCCTTGTTAGTTCATGTTGGCTCAGGTTCATTAAATAATATTAACAGATGCAACTTTGTATTAGTGAATGTTGAAATTAACATGTCCTAAGATTAATAAGTGCTTACGAATTACCTTTCATTGTTAGTTCATGGAATATTGTAGTGTTACCCAAAATACTAAGCTGTTTGGTTGTTTAAGAACTACTTATTGTTCATAATTTCCAGTGAAATATGAAAATGCAATAAGGATATTGAACATAGAGCACAGACATGTCGACTTGACGTATTTTGGAACATGGTTAGAATAAAACCCTAAAACCCGCTTAACCAAGATGGTCAACCAGATCAACTTAAGCTAACAGTCCAACTGATAAACCATCTAGACTAGCGGATGACCAGCAATGTGCAGCCATCATAAGCTAGTTAAACTGGGTTTTCCGTTCTCAGCCTGATGGTAGATGTTTCCTAAAGCAGCATATGAAGTCTTATTTTTGAAATAAGTGGTATTTCCACGAATGCCAAGATTGTGTTACCGGAGTGCGCTGGTTATTGTGTGTGTGATCGTATCCACATAGAATATAATGCTAGTTACTACTGTAGTGTTAGCGGTTAGTCGTTAGTGCCGTGATGTTTGTAAGCACATGTGGTTTGAGAAAGACTATTTTTAATGTTAAACTGATGGATTGATTGCAGCTGATGAACATTTATAGCGTCTAACAGACTGAAGTGTAGCAGCGTTTGTTGTTTTAGTGGTTGATGGACCGTGTTCTTCAGCACTGTGTCGTTTGATGCCTTCAACGCGTTCGGCCTTCGTTTGAAACCCGTGCCGTATGTCGACCGCTGCTCGCGGCCAGACCAGTGACTATGGAAGCTATTTCCAACACGGAATAAAAAAATTCAATAATGGACTTTTTATCTCACTATTATGACTTCTCTCACAATTGCAAGTTTATAGCTAGCACTTGCAAGTTATAAACCCCGTAACTGCAAGTTTACATCTCGCAATTCTTTTTTTTTTGCAGAATTCTAAGTTAATGTTTTGCAATTCTGACGTTTTTCTTTGAATTTTGAGTTTACATTTCACAATTCATTTGTTTTCTTGTTTTTGCAACAAAATTTTTAAAAGTAGTTGAAACTATTTATGTTGCAATTTGGACTTTTTTTTTGTGCAGAATTCTGACTTTTTTTCGCAATTCATTTACATTTAGTCGTTTAGCAGACACTTTTATCCAAAGTGACTTACAAATGAGGACAATAAAAGCAGTCAAAACTAACAAAAGAGCAATGATATGCAAGTGCTATAACAAGTCTCAGTTAGCCTAACGCAGTACACGTAGCAAGGTTTTTTTTAAATCATATAATAAATAAAAAGAAAACGGATAGAATAGAAAAAGAATAGAGCAAGCTAGTGTTAGAGGTCTTTTTGCTTTTGTTAATTCAGAGTTTATATCTCAAAACTCTGAACTCTGAGTTTGTCTCGGGATTCTGACTTTTTTAAATTTTATTTTAAGTTTATATCTTGCAGTACTGACTTTTTCTGGGAATTTTGAGTTTACATCTCGCCATTCCAATTTTTTTTCTTGGAATTTTGACTTTTCTCTTGGAATTTTAAGTTTATATCTCACAGTTCTGGCTTTTTCTTGGAATTCTGACTTTTTTCAGGATTCTAAGTTTACATCTGGCAATTCAGATTTTTTTCTCTCGGAATTCTGACTCTTTTCTTTGAATTTTGAGTTTATATCTCGCAGTTCTGGCTTTTTTCTCGCCATTCTGATTTTTTCCCCTCTTAATTCTTACTTTTCTCTTGGAATTTTGAGTTTTTATCTCACATTTCTGACTTTTTTTTTGGAATTCTAACTTTTTTCTTGGAATTTTGAGTTTTTATCTCACAATTCTGACTTTTTTTTTTGAATTCTGACTTTTTTCTTGGAATTTTGAGTTTTTATCTCACAATTCTGACTTTTTTTTTTGAATTCTGACTTTTTTCTTGGAATTTTGAGTTTTTATCTCACAATTCTGACTTTTTTTTTTGAATTCTGACTTTTTTCTTGGAATTTTGAGTTTTTATCTCACAATTCTGACTTTTTTTTTTGAATTCTGACTTTTTTCTTGGAATTTTGAGTTTTTATCTCACAATTCTGACTTTTTTTTTTGAATTCTGACTTTTTTCTTGGAATTTTGAGTTTTTATCTCACAATTCTGACTTTTTTTTTTGAATTCTGACTTTTTTCTTGGAATTTTGAGTTTTTATCTCACAATTCTGACTTTTTTTTTTGAATTCTGACTTTTTTCTTGGAATTTTGAGTTTTTATCTCACAATTCTGACTTTTTTTTTTGAATTCTGACTTTTTTCTTGGAATTTTGAGTTTTTATCTCACAATTCTGACTTTTTTTTTTTAATTCTGCCTTTTTTCTTGGAATTTTGAGTTTAAATCTCACAATTCAGTTCTTTTTTTTTTTTGCCATGTAATTTAAAAAAAGAATAATTGCGACTTTTTTCCTCATTTTGCATCACAATTCTGACTTACTTTTTCTCAGAACTGTGATGTAAAACTTGCAATTACCATTTTTATGTTTTATTCCATGGTGGACACAAGCTTCCATAAGTGTTTAGAAGCGTAGCGGAGAGTTTCTTCTTTTTGTCATGATTTTATTCAGGGCTGGTAGCTGAAGAAACGCATCTGTTCTGGAGGACAGCAGATTTCTTTATGTGAGCGTGTGTTTTGTGCCATCTGTTCTCCGTCACGCGGGTCTGAATCAGGTGCGACGCTGCAGCCCGTGCATCACATCTCCTTCATGGTCACTGAGTTTTTGTTCTGAATAGCCGTGAACACAAGCGACACACCACAAGATTTTTGTTTTGATTTCTGGTGTGTCATGCTGTGTAGCTCCGCCCACGTGGCTTCACCTGTGTTCTGATTGGCTGTAAGTATGCGTCGCGTCGCACCTGGTTTGGTGAATCTCATGAAAGCTGTGAAGAAGAGCATTTCCGGCTCATATTTCACCCCAAAACCCTAATTATGTTTGACTTTTTTAAGATAATTAATGTGCAATCATTTTTGCGCAGTCATTATTTTTATGTTTTTTATTGTCAGTTGTAAAGTATATTTGTAGAGAACAAATTAAATGCATATAACTGATTATTTATTCATTATTTTATATATATATATATATATATATATATAATTCATAAAGAGAAATTATTCACGTTCATAGTTCGCTGATGACAAGTAGTGGTCAGCTAAACAGAATTTCATATATTTTAGTAAGTGTTTTGAGATTTTTATGATTGATAATTATTCATAGTAATTACAATTATAATTTAATTTATTTACTTTTAAGTAAGTGTTCAGTTCAATTTTAAATTTTTATGATTTAATTTATTATTGGCTTTTCATCAGCTCATGATTGTGATTTTTTTTCATGAGAATTTAGCGTAAATCTGTTTAATTGGCATGAAAATATTGTCACGTAATGGTAAAAAAAAAGCTGTAATAATCTGAGCAGGATTCATGAGGTTGAGACACGCTGTTATTCTGAATCTTAAATCTTTATGCGTTCTAATGATTAAATCAGACAGTGTTATTATTGATAGTATTATCACAGATTTCCAGTCAGTCACGTCTGGTATGGGCAATAACTCTGAAATCACACTCTTTGAGCTCTATATGAATATATATAATGTAAATGTGTGTTTGAATGGCAGTATAAACACTTGAATCATTGCATCATTACACAAACCTGTAATGTGTGTGTGAGTGAAAGCGTGTGTGTTTTGCACGTGATGTTACAGAGATTCACTGTTATGAAGGTGTACGTTTGTATTTATTTAGTTTTGTTCCTGTGCTGGATGACAAACCTGTACCGCTTGATGTGAGAATATAATGAGAATAAACACAACGTCACTGCGGCGGCTCACGACTGTTTATCGATCATCAATATATATATGTATATGTATGTATATGTAAGTTCTTAAAACAATCATTATTTTCTTCTAAAGAACCTTTTTTCACTGTAAAGAACATGTTGTGGAATGGAAAGATTCCATGGATGTTAATGTTCTTTATGGGACCATCAATGAATTATATAATTATAATAATATAATATAAACCACATGAATCCTGTAATGGACTTTTAAAAGGGTTTAAGTCTTAGATTCTATCCTTAAATGATCAGATTCCACATGAAATAAAATGTATTCGGAAACATTACGCATATACTTTATATTGATATATTGTGGCAGATATAATATCCAGGCCATTATCAGTTATTCTAAATTCGTAACAACTTGAATAAATTCAAAAATTTAGAACGTGTTACAAAACGGGAACACTGCAATCTTTATATATATATATATATATACTGTGTGTATATATATAT